AAAAAAAAATAAAAAGAAAGGTTTCTAGTAATATCGGAGACTTGACGTTGATGTTTACCAAAAATGAAACAAGCAAGATCACGTGTAAACGGTGTTATGTTATGACATATTGTAGTATTGCATGACAACCATGTCCGCTCATTATAGAATAGATTCTGATTGGTCTGTATAATAGAACACTAGAACTCCGGACCAAAAATAATTGTAATTCATTAATTCATTAATTCTTACCAAAATTTGATCTAATATTCCGGTGTTCCGAAACAAAGTATATAGTCAAGAGGCTGTCGTCGTTATTGGCCTTGATTCTCTCTTTCTTGCCTAAGTTACAGGCTCTCAAAATTCCGTCTACTTTTTTACTTTATTCACTCATTTCACCAAATTAAATCTAAGCATAATGAAGCAGAGTTCTGATATAGGCACAAGAGATTCTAGGTATTTTATTGAATTCTTTTTTCTTTAATGCTACCGTTTATTAAAATATTCCCCATTTTCAGGCGAGATCGCGATGACCGTGACTCTCGTGACAGAGAAGGATCGATTGATTATAGAAGGCATGTAAAAAAAAACAAGTTTTTGGACTAATCTAACGATTTCTTTCAAGCAAAGATGTAATTCGTAGCTCTACTTTTTTATAAGATTTTCGCTAAAAGAATTTTCAATTTAGACGAGAGCGCGAGGAAAGCGATGAACGTGAAAGGCAAGGAATAAATATGTTTAGAAGGTATAGTGTAAAAAGTCATTTAGCAGATATTTTAAAATTCTTGAGGTTTCTATAGGAATTATATTCTTACCAAAGTATTTTATTTTAGACAAGATGAGATATATGGAACACCAATAAATCGAAGGTATTTATAGTAAGCAATAACAATCAACTTGAGGAAAAAATTTAATTGGACTATTACTTTGATCCAATGCCTCATTTTAGAAAAAGCAATTTTAACAATTATAAATTTTTCAATTGAAATAATTCAATCCAAATTGACAAGCATGAAATATATTTTAAATATCTTTCAATATTACGCTGTATAGTACTCAACGACGTGAATTTGATGAATTTGGTCGAGCTCCAGGAGAAAGAATTTTATATAATGATCGCAGAAATAATAATGACATAAGACGTGAAGGCATAGGCCGTCAGTTAGGTCCTAATATACGTGACCATGAAGTAAGTATTGAAATTTTTTACGTAAGCCAGAATTGATATTAAAAGATCTTCATTCATAAATTCAAATGTATGGTTTTATATTTAATTTACTAATTAAATATATTTTCTTATGCGACATTTTAATTGATAAGTATGATGACCGAAATCCAAGCCGTAGGGGTCGATATCGTCCACATGATAATCCTGGTCAGAGGGATTATTTTCCACATCACCGCATGTATCATTACAGAGATGATTGGGGGGATCCTCGTACAATACCAAGAAGCCATGAAAGAAAAAGACCGGAACATGATAGGCCTAGAGATAGAGAGCGAAATGATCGCGACAGAAATGCTTCAATATCTCGCGAACGTCAATTAAGTCGTATTGGTGTATCATCACGAGATTGTGCAAACCAATATATTCACAACATGAGCGGATTTGATTATCAAGAATTAGAAACACGACCAAAATTTTCTTTTGGATTTAATAATAAAGACATAGAAAGAGATGAATTTCAAGGTATAGGACCTACATACGGTAGTAGGCGTAATAGAAATAGATCAACTTCCCCTTCTCCTAGATCTTCGGTAACAAGTTCTTCATCTTATTCGCATCGAACAAGATCACCAATACAT